CTTGAGCTCGCTGAGCTCCTGCAGGTTGAGCGCGGCCCGGGCCCCGCGGAGGGGCCACCCCGGGCCGAGCAGCGCCAGCAGCGCCAGCGCCGCCACCGGCCCCGGGCCCCCGCCGCGCCGCCATCTTCCCCCGCCGCCGCCGCTTCCGCTTCCGCCCGCACCTCCCTGCGCCCCGCCCCGGCCCCCGCTGCTCCGGGCCGCGATTGGTTCGGCTGGCTGCCTGTCAAAGCCAAGCGCGGCTCTGATTGGTCAACGGGCGGGGATGACGCCGCCGCTTGTGAGGCCGCGGGGGCGAGGTGGTTGCGAGGCCGCGGCCCGCGGCGATTGGCCGGAGCCCGCGCAGGCGGCAGCCAATGGCGAGGCGGGGCGCGGCCGGCCGCCATGACGTAAGGTCTGGCGGTTCCCCATTGGCCGAGCGGGATGCAGGCGATCCCCGCGCGCTGATTGGCCGAGAGCACCGAGCATCCCGGGGGGATCACGTGATTACCGGAACCGGGAGGGGGCTCGGCGGGGAGGGACGGGCGGGGACCCTGAGCGAGCGGGGCCGGCCCCGGCGCCATTCCCCGGCCCTGGAGCCCCTCTGCTGACCCGGCGTCCTCCTGACCCCGCCCAAACCGCTCCGAGCTCCCCGGGACCCCTGAGACCCCCGGGACCCCTGAGACCCCCGGGACCCCTCAGCCCCCCCCAGGCCCCTGAGCCCCCCAGGACCCCTGAGCTCCCCGGGACCCCTGAGCCCCCCAGGCCCCTGAGCCCCCCCAGGACCCCTCAGCTTCCCCGGGACCCCTGAGACCCCTGAGCCCCCGGGACTCCTCAGCCCCCAGGACCCCTGAGCTCTCGGGACCCCTCCTCGCTCCCTCACCCCCCTGGCAGCCCCCCGAGTCTGCCCACCCCCCCAGCTCCGAGCCCCCGCCCCCTCCCGGTGCCGGCAGAGCCCGGGCCGGGCCCCCCCGTGCCCCCCGGTCAATGGGGCCGTTGTGCGCCCCGCGCGTGGGCACAAAGCGCTGCCTGAGGCCGCCGCACCGGGGGGGCTGATCCCGGCCCGACCCCCCCCCCGCCCCTCCCCCCCCTCCGCCGCCTCTCCCCCCCCCCCCCCGCACCCTCGCCCCCGCCCCTCCCGGGGCTGCGGCGGTGCCGTTCCACACCGGGGCCGCCGGGGGCGCCCTCGCCGCCCGCTCCGGTGCCGGTGCCGCTTGCGGCCGCGGAGCGCCGGGATCCGCCAGCGGAGCCAGGTAGGGCCGGGGCCGCTCCTGTCGCGACGTGTCGCGATGGGGGATGGATGGCACCTGCCGCTGCCCCGCGGCTGCGACATCGCCGCCTCTGGCCCCAGACACCCCCAAACCCCGCATCCCGCGGGCCCCCCCGGCATCCCCGCATCCCCGGGCCCCGCTGCCCGAACAGTCCCAGCCCCCCCGAGCCCCGCATCCCCCGAGCCCCCCCCCCGGTACCCCCCAGGCCCCTCCCTGCCCCCCCCCCCGGGCCCCCCGGTACCCCCAGCCCCTCCCACGTCACGTCTGCCCCGGGCCCTGCCTTGGCCGAGCCCTCGGGGGGAGCCCCGGGAGGGGCGGGGGCGGCCCCGGTGCGGCCACACCCCGGGGGGGGTGGGGGGGATCCCGGGGTGCGGCCCCCCCGCCCCGACACTGTCCCCGTGTCCCCAGGCCGGTGCTGCGGGGGCAGAGCCATGAGGGAGGGCTGAGCCCCCCGGAGCTGCGCCCACCCCCAGGTGAGGGCACGGGGGGGTACTGGGAGCACTGGGAGAACTGGGAGATATTGGGAGAATTGGGGACACTGGGAGAATTGGGGGCACTGGTTTGCACTGGGAGAATTGGGGACACTGGGAGAATTGGGGGCACTGGGAGCACTGGGGAGGGATGGAGGGATCCAAGCACAGCAGAAAGGGGGAACTGGGGGGGGTACTGGGATGAACTGGGATGAACTGGGATGAACTGGGACATGGGAGTGCTGGAGGCAGAGCAGGGACTGAGGGACGGTGCACGGCACTGGCGGCACTGGTTTGTACTGGGAGTCCCTGGGGAGTGCTGTGGGCACTGGTTTGTACTGGGAGATGCTCTGGGCACTGGTTTGTACTGGGAGTTACTGGGAGTCCCTGGGAAGTGCTGCGGGCACTGGTTTGTACTGGGAGGTGTTGTGGACACTGGTTTGTACTGGGAGGTGCTGTGGGCACTGGTTTGTACTGGGAGGTGTTGTGGACACTGGTTTGTACTGGGAGGTGCTGTGGGCGCTGGTTTGTACTGGGGATGCTGGGTGGCAGCAGGAGGCACTGGGGCACTGGGAGTGTCTGGGTTGTACTGGGGGCACTGGGGGGCACTGGGAGGGTCTGGGTTGTACTGGGGGCACTGGGAGGGGCTGGGTTGTACTTGGGGCACTGGGGGGCACTGGGAGGGTCTGGGTTGTACTGAGGGCACTGGGGGGCACTGGGAGGGTCTGGGTTGTACTGGGAGGGGCTGGGTTGTACTGGGTGTTACTGGGAGGGGCTGGGTTGTACTGGGGGCACTGGTGACACTGCTGTCACTGCTGTCACTGGGAGGCTCAGGGCATCACTGGCAGGAGCTGGGAGGGGCTGGGTTGCCCTGGTGACACTGGGGACACTGGGGGACACTGGGAGGGGCTGGGTTGCCCTGGTGACACTGGGGACGCTGAGAGGAGCTGGCTTGCCCTGGGGGCACTGGTGACACTGGGGGGGCACTGGGAGGGTCTGGGTTGTACTGGGGGCACTGGGGGGCACTGGGGGGCACTGGGAGGGTCTGGGAGGGGTTGGGTTGTACTGGGAGGGGCTGGGTGTCACTGGGAGGAGCTGGGAGGGGCTGGGTTGCCCTGGTGACACTGGGGACACTGGGAGGGGCTGAGTTGTACTGGGGACACTGGGAGGGGCTGAGTTGTACTGGGGGTCACTGGGGGACACTGGGGGTCACTGGCAGGAGCTGGGAGGGTTGGCTCGCCCTGGGGGCACCGGGGGGGCACTGGGGGTCACTGGGAGGGGCTGGGTTGTACTGGGGGCACCGAGGGGGCACTGGGGGCGCTGGTGACACTGGGAGGGGTTGGGCTGCCCTGGGGGGCACTGGGAGGGTCTGGGTAGTACTGGGGACACTGGGAGGGGCTGGGTTGTACTGGGGACACTGGGAGGGGCTGGCTCACCCCAGGGGCCCCGGGGGGACACTGGTGACACTGGGGGTCAATGGGAGGGGCTGGGTTGTACTGGGGGCACTGGTGAGGCTGCTGTCACTGGGAGGGGCTGGGTTGTACTGGGTGTTACTGGGAGGAGCTGGCCTGTCCTGGGGGCACTGGGGGGGCCCTGCAGTGACACTGGTGACACTGGGGGGCACTGGGTGTTACTGGGAGGGGCTGGGTCGCCCCAGGGTCCCTGCAGTGACCCTGTCCCTGTCCCCAGGCAGGATGCGGGGGGTCCCCGCGGTGACACTGGGGGACACTGGGGGACACTGGGGGGCACTGGGGGTCCCCGCGGTGACACTGGGGGGCACTGGGGG